TATAACATTGTTATTTGTACTGATTAATATTATATGTGACGCCAATGGTAGTATCATTGCTAATCATAATGTATGTATCTACATGCTAATGAATTTTCTACATAATACTCAATCAGTATTGCTCATTCAAGTATCCTTATTTTGGTTCCATATTCAATTGGTGCTCTTAATAATACTATAATTACTATCGTGTGAATATTTTGTTTCAATTAATTTATGTATAACCATTGCTATCTGTCTATCATTTCCTAACTTGATGGATAATTCTTCGTGTACTTGGGTGTTTGGTATCAATTAGGTGTTTTTAATACTGCTATGATTCAATAATTAAACATCGTGCACAATAATAATCATAAAATAATTTCATGACCATGCAAAATTTCGTAAAGAAAAATGTGAACCCGTCACAAAGATCGACATTATCTAAACGACATAATAACATATCCTGTTCCATGTAGAACCCTAATCATATATGTAAAACACTAATATTATTCATCGCATAAATCATACTATAAGTAACTCCAAATAATAAATATAAGTAATTTGAACGAGATCTAATAACGTTCATAGTATTGAATTAGGTGATTGATATGTTTTTCTTGTTGATAATGTTCTTCTTCATGTTGAACGATAAATTTTACATCACTTAATTTTTGTACAATCCGAAATGGCCCATGATATCTTCCATCTAATTTTGATCTTTCAGTTAATATTTTGACCCAAACTAAATCATCGATTTTGTATTGTGGATGTTGTCTTCCTCGATCATATCGTTGTTTGCTTAGTTGTTGCTGTTGTTGGATGTTAAATCGGACAGCACGAATAACAATTTTCTTAATTGCATTCGCTTTGTCCCAATAATCATTTGATTTTGACATTGTTATTATTGCGGATGGTGGGTCAAATGGTGATAACAATTTTCGAGTGAATGCAACTTCATATGGTGTAAAGCCCGTTGTTGCGTGAATGCCAGAATTGTATGCGAATGCAATGGATTGTAAATATTCGTCCCAGTCGTTAATATTGATGTTATTGTATTTCTTCAATTGGTCGCAGAATGTTGAATTGAATCTTTCGACTTGGCCGTTAGACGTTGGATGATATGGGATAGAGAATATTTGTTTGCATCCGGTTAATTTTGTGATGGCTTCCATTAATTCATTCTTGAAATGGGGGCCTTGGTCTGACTGTAATTGTTTGATTGCACTATGTTTTAATACAATGTCTTCGTATATCATTTGTACTGCGTCTTTGGCTGTTGCTGATGGTAGCGCTTTGGCAAACACATATTTGGATAACCGGTCCGTAACTACTAATACATATTGGTTACCTTCGGATGATTTGAATGGTGATTTCCAGAAATCCATTTGCATAATTTCGAAAACGCCTTGTGGTGGCTCTTGATTTTGTAAGAGACCAGACTGCTTCCGTCGTTGTGTGTTGAATTGGGTGCATTTCTGACAGGATCGAAGATAATTTTGTATGGATTCAAACATATTTATCCAGTAATATTGATTTCTAATTTTGTGATATGTTCGACGCACACCAAAATGGCTACTGAAAGGGTGATCATGGTATGCAAATAAGATTTCGGGTTGTATTTTTGTTGGTATCCAGGGTAATTTAAATTTTGTTGAGCCACCTCTTTCAATTAATTTGTATAGTATACCATCTTGGACGATGTCCGATGAATATTTATGTGGATCTTTATTGATTTGCTGTATTCTAGCTTGCATAATTATATCTGTTTGTTGTTCATCCTTAATGCGTCCCAGACTGAAATCAATATTGAGCGATGGTAGTGTTGTGGGTAATGGATTATTTGTTTGTATAATTGATATATCATTTGCTGTATTTGTTGTTTTTATTGGATTTGTTGCCTTCTGCGTTTTCGATCGTGTCATAATTCTATTGGGCGATGGGTGTGATTGTAACTGTTTAGCGCTGGATCTTGTGATAGCATTGATAATAACAGGTGATGATAATTCTTGGTTTGGGTTCTCTTCGTTTTGGTATTGTCTTGATAGCAATTGTTGTTCATCATCAGGGTCAGGAGATTGTTCTGGGTATCTAGATAATAAATCTGCATCGCAGTTACATTTACCTCGTTTATATTTGATAGCTATAATTTGATATTCTGATAATGCCACCTGCCATCTATCAGTTCATGAATTGTTTGATTTGTTTTTCCCAAAACTGCATAAGGGGCAGTGATCAGTTTCGACAATGAATGGTCGGCGCCATACATATTCTTTTAATTGTTGTATACACCAAACCATGGCCATACATTCTTTTTCTGTTGTGGAATATTTCTTCTGGGCGTTATTGAATTTTTTCGATAAATATTTAATAACTTTTATGCCGTTTGGTGTATGCTGTCGAAGAACACCACCCATACCTGCTCCTGATGCATCAGTGGATAATACTAATTGTGAATTATCATCTGGAAAATTTAATAGTAGTGGTGGCGTTGTTAAAGCTTGTTTTAATTTGTCATATGCTTGCTTGGTTGTTGACGTCCAATTTTTTGCAAAACTGATATGTTTCCTTGTGAATTGGAATAATGGTGCAGCTATTTTGGCAAAATCTTTAATATGATCATGATAATAATTTGCTGCTTGTACGAATGAGTGGATGTCCTTGGCAGTTTTGGGTTCGGGCAATTTCATTATGGCATCAATGTTGTCTTGTAAGGGTTTAATACCTTCATTATTAATCGTATGACCAAGATAATCGATTGTGTGTTTTATAATTGAGCACTTGGATGGATTCAATTGGAAGTTGGCATTTGATAATATCATTAATATTTCCTCCAGATGTGCCATGTGTTCTTCAAATGTTTTCGCGAATATAATAATGTCATCAATGTAAACCAGGCAGTAGTCCCACCTTGTGTTGACCAACAAATCATACATGATGCGTTGGAAGCTCGATGGTGCATTCATCAGACCCTGTGGCATAACATTGAACTTGAATAAGCCATCAGGTGTTATGAATGTTGTTTTTTCTCTGTCCGACGGATGGATTGGAATTTGATGGTAACCACTTTTTAAATCTAATTTTGAAAAATAACTGTTACCATTTAACCGATTTAATGTATCATGAATTCTTGGAAGAGGATAACAATCTCTTTCAGTAATTTTGTTTAATTTTCTATAATCAACGACGAATCTGTATGTGCCGTCCTTCTTCTTGACTAACAAGACGGGAGATGCCCAACTTGAATATGATGGTTGGATTTGTTTGGCTTGTAACATATCATTTATTGTTTTATGTAAATGATCTTGTTGGGTATGACGATATGGTCTGGATTGTATTGGTAGATGATTACCGGTTTTTATCATAGGTGAAGCTGGGACATTGGCTATTGTAGGTGTAGTTGTATCAAAAACTTTATAATGTTTTTCTAACAATTGACGTACTTGGTGTTGCTGTTGTTTATTATCAATGTGTTGGATCAATTGATCAATAACTTCAGTCATCTTTTGTTTTGAAATTTGATTTGTGAATTTGTGTAAATCAATATTAGTAAGTGTTGATTTAGGATTTTGTACATTGATGTGTCCCATGCAGGTATTCAATGGTATTTGGAATCGTTTTTCTGTTGGATTACAAATTGTTAGGGATGTGGTGTAATTTGCAACGGCTAATAAGGCATTGGGCATGATTATCAATTTTTCTTCTTGCAATTTCTTGTACGGTTGGAACATTACATTTTTGGATGTTGATATTGGTACATGTAGTTGGACGATAGCAAATGACGAAGGTTCCAATTTAATAGTATTAACTAATTTGGCAGGAAAATCCTGTTGTTCAATATCTTCCTGCATTGGAATTGATGTTGTTGATAACCATAAGGGTTTCGTTGAGTGATGAATATCTATGTTGTATTTTGTAATCCAATCATTTCCTAGTATACATTCAGCAAACAGAGTTTTGGATACTAATGCTGAAATATGCGTTTGGATATTACCGAATTTAATGTTTAATTGGACTATCCCTTCTAGTGGTAATGTTGTCCTACCATCTCCCAATGTACATTGCTTTATGGTTCGGTGAATCTTGGTGTGACGTAATTTTGCTAATGTTGTTGTACTAATGAAGGTATTGGTAGCACCTGAGTCGATCAAACACCTAACCTTAATACCGTTTATTGGGAGTGTGATGTAGGTTAATACTGATGGATTTGTTTTTGTTACAGAGGTACTACCATCATGCACCTCTGTTATTGGTTTAAATGTTGCTGTTGTGAACATTCTCTAGCAAAATGACCTTGTTGTCCACAATTATAACATAAATGTTTTGTCCATTGATTTGTGTACGATCGTCGTTGTGATGATTGATATTGGTGTTGTTGAACTGACGGATATTGTTGATAAGTATTATGTGATGATCCTTGAAATTGTTGTTGTGGGTGTTCGTATGATGTTGGTTGTTGATCATTATATGGTTGTCGATTACTATGATTAAATTTTGATGATAAATAATTCTGACGTTCCTTCCTTTCCTACGAAACATAGTACAGACCGCCGCGCTTGACTTAGAATAGTGTTGTCCGGTGAAGTGTGGACTGGGGATATTTGTAGCCACCATGGCCCGCGTGCGATGCGTTTGAGAAATCAGCGTCAAGCCTTTTCGGATCTGACTGCTTTGCCAGGAACTGCAACGATAGGTTTTCGCCTTGGCCGGGTCCGACAGCCCTTTCCGTTAGGCTAGTGATAACTCACGGACGGTGAATTATTTGTGCTGATTGTTAATAATTGTGTTGGTTCCATAAATGTTTGTGTTTGTTCGATTTGTTGAAGTCTTTTCAACAGGTCATATGGAGTAGTAAATGGCTTTTCATATACTTTCGTAAATAAAGTTGATTTAAGACCAGCTATAATTTTACATGTCTTATCTGCATCGGACATATTTGGATCATATTCATGGCATAAACGTATAACAGCATGATAGTAATCTATAACTGATTCTTTCTCAAGTTGTTGTCGTTGATCTAATTATTTTCTAATTAGACATTTATTTGTAGGTTCTAATTTTGGAGGAAACTGTTCTGTTAATTTTTGTTTAAATGTTTGCCAATTAACTGAAGTTTTATCTTGTGTGTTCCACCATTTATAAGCATGGTTTTTTAAAAATGCTGGTGCAAATTGTTTACATTGTTGTTGTTTATCACCCTGTATTGGGACCGTATCAAAATAAAATTCAATACTATCTAACCATTCGGTTACGTTTTCATTCGTGCTACCTTGAAAATCTTTAACGTAATTTTTCATCTCATGTAAATGATTTGTTTGTTGAATTATTAGATGTTGAATTGGTGTCGTTGATTGTGTTAATTGTTGTGTTAATGTTGGTTGTGTTGCTTCTACAATATTTGGAACGGGTTTGTGTTGGTTTTCACGTAAATGGTGATGTGCATTAATTGGTATTGATAAATCCTGTACTTCTGCTGGCGAATATTTTTCGACGAATAATTCGATGAATGTAGACCAATCTTTTATTTCATGTCTGTTGCGAATGTACCATATCATTGCTTTGCCAGTTAGTATTTGATCTACTTTTTGCCGTTTTTCAGCTGGATTTAACGATTCAAGTAGTCGATCAATTTCATAAAGCCATTCGCTTGCATCTTCACCTGGAAACCCACCAAATTTTGGATATATCGCGTTAGTCATTGTGATCGGTGATATATATGTATAATTATTTATATTTGTTTTATTGGTTGGTAAATTTTCTTGTTGTGTTGTTCTAATTGTTTCATGGTGTATGAATGGTTGTGAATATTGCTGCACTAATGGTGTTGTAAATTGAATATGTCGTTGTGTTGTAGTCGAGGGCAATTGCCTGGTAATAGTTGGTGGTAATGACAGTACTTGTTGTGCGAAGTGTGTATAGTCTAGGTTGGTCAGTGGATGATCTTGAGAATGGTCATTTAAATCAGATAATGCTGTTGTTGTATCAGCTGACAAATCTTGATTTGATAGTGTGTTCTCAATTGTTAATGTGTCATTGACTGATGGTATATTATCTTCAGTTGCCATTGTACGAATCCTATTAGTCGCTGATGTATTGTTTGTTAATGTAACACCATTGGATGTAAAGACTTGTGATAAACTATTTTGAGTTGTTGAGGTATCATCAATTATTGCTAATGATGACGCATCAAGGATATTGTTTTGGTGTGTATTGGACATTGTTGTTAATTTTTCATCGAATTTTGGTTTAGATTGTCTTTCTAATGGTAATTTTTTTGCTAATTCCTGCGCTGATTCTTTAATGGTTGTATCTGATCTCGTTTCACGACGTACTGCGTTCATATAATAATAGCTCCACTAATTGTGTTCAATAATTTTTCATAATAATATGGCTGTTGTTGTGGGACGATCCGGGTTCGTTTTTCTTTTATTGTTGATGTTGAATTACCAATAAAAGTGGCTAGTGCACCACTTAATCTTCTGCCACAGCCTTTCAAAGAAGTGATATATTGGATACTTTATTCAAAAAACCGTGCCACGTCTTACTCTTCACTTCAATCTCCCCCGCCTTGCTTAAACTGAAATTGTCTCGGCATATATATACTCTGAGACGCACAAGAAAAATAGCTGGATGAAAAGTATAAATAAAAATAGCCACGTTTCAATAAAACGAAAAACCTAGATGTAAAATGTAAACTTCAACTAGTCAATAGATGAACACAAAGAAAGAAATTTAGACATAAAGTATGTGGATGAAAAGTATAAATAAAAATAGCCACGTCGCAATAAAATGAAAAGCCTAGATATAAAATGTAGTTGTAAATTCGAATGTTTATGTAGACGAATAGAGAAAGCAAAAAGATGGAGAAAGTCAGGGGTATCACTTCCTAACACGACATGTAGATAGATCGCTTTCTATCTGTCGTAATGCTAAGAGTTCACGGTTTCTCGTATACGTTACACCATGTATTAGTCTTTCTCAGTTAATATATGTTGACGTTGAAACGGATAAACAGATTCATGCTGGATGGTGGCGGGCGGTTTTTTCGCCTCGAAGCCTCCTCACCAACGTTTGCCCCTCCACCTCTGTTCGCCGCATATTATATTCCTTCAACACGTTGCCTCTTTTTGTCCGAATCATGATTAAGCCTTTTAGCAACACTAGTTAATCATGATGTATTTAATCACGTACCAGGAATTATTCATGATTCCAATCATGCTTAATGATGTAGTATAAACGCAGTCTCCAACGTTTTATAGATAGTTGCCTGGCACCAAATAAGGGTGGATGTGATCAAAATGCAAATTGTTCTCACGGTGTTGGAAATGCTGTGGTATGTACATGCAATACTGGTTATAGTGGCGATGGAACCAGTGGAAATTGTCAAGGTAAGAATCTGCCTCAAAACGGAATTCGTTTACAAAATATTGATCGGTTTCTATTTATCGTAATGCTAAAAGTTCATAGTGTCTCGTGTATTTACAGCTTGTATTAATCTTTCTCAGTGAATATATGTTAATGTTGAAACGGATAAATAGATTCATTTTGGATGGCGGGGGTCAATGTTTTCCATTTTTGTCTCGAATATTCGTCACAAACTTTTGTTCCTCTTTTTCTTCGAAATAAGGGAGGAATGTGTCTTTCACCAAGTGTCTTCGTGTACACACGTCGTCGATAGGTCTTCTCTTCTTTGTTATCTCAAATGTATCTTCCTTGCATCTTAGCAGATTGCTTTTCGCCATGTTTCGCTTAGCGAAGAAAGAATAAAACCATGAACACTTTCTTGAGCTTTCTATACTGGCGTATACATCTTCTAAGCATAAATGGCCGGAGTTCAACTGCGGGTATGAAGGATACATTTTGTTTCTTTCTGCATTGGGACACGGTTATCACATGTCTGTAGAGACAATGCACTACACGTTGGTGAAGTAGCAACTCATTCATTGGTGCCTCAGTCGTTATTGATAATAAATTATCAATAAAACAGAGAATATAAGGAGTCAAGATTGTTGGTCAGTTCTGAGCACTATGCAATTATTGTAGGAAACAAAACATTTTCGTTTATTCATTTCTTGCTCGTGCAGAAGGGTGCAGATCACGGTTTAGATGCACAGGAAAACTCATCCCCGACCACCTGTTGTCACCACACATTACTTGCCTTCAACGCACTGACTCTTTTTGTCCGAATCATGATTAAACCTTTACACAGCGGTTAATCATGATCTATTTAATCACGTTCTAAACATGAATAAATCAATCATAGTGAACGAGCGAGTCATGATTAGGTCTGCGTTTGTACCACCCATGAGGGCATTTTAGATACATTTATCGCGATGAGTGCTTGTTTTATCGAGGCCGTCACGGGGTTTTTGTAGTTATCGAGATAAATAATTTATCGGACAAAGTAATCTTTTTCTTTGCATAATTTTATTATCGCGAGTTATCTATGAACAATCCATATCGGGGTAACGGCTGTTTTGTCATGATAAAGTAATTATCGCGATAACTGCCAAAACTCCGTGACGGTCTCGATAACACAAGCACTTATGGCGATAATGTATCGAAAATGTGCTCATGGGTACTTCAAAGATAATTAACCGTTATGTTTCAAAACATTATTCTTTTATCAATCTATGAAAAACACATAGAGTTATATGGGATAAAAAGAGTCAGTGCACAAAATTTCTTTCGTAATTTTATATGGGAATTTCTCACTATTTCTCATCCCTTTTTAACTGAACAAATTCAATATTAGCCACGTTGGTAGAGACGACCATTATACACACACTAGTGCAACCATTTCGCGAAAATTCATCTTGGTTTTTCAGATATATTCAACTGGGAGTCGAGTCGTTTTGATTGACTCTTTTTACTCCATCGACATAAGTGAGCTGACTCTTTTTTAAAGCATGTGGAGTAAAGAGTCAATCAGAACGACTCGACTCCCAATTGAACATATCTGAAATCTGGACTGGTGATATCTGTAGCCACCATGGGCCGCGTGCGATTCGTTTGAGAAATCAACGTCAAGCCTTTTCGGATCTGACTGCTTTACCAGGAACTGCATCGATAGGTTTTCGTCTACGCCGGATCTGACCGCCCTTTCCGTTAGGGTAGTGATAACTCACGGACGATGAAACCATTTTCCTTTGCGGCTTTGCACCGAACGTTAAGCAGTTATCTCAGGAGCCTAGGACGAAACTGTATAATCTGGGAGCCGCAATCTTTGATGACAATCTTCGTTTTCTAGCTGTATGCGACCCCAATTGCAAAACTGGAAATTGTACAAGTCCTGGAATATGCGCTGCCTGTAACGCTGGCTATAGTGGAGCCACATGTACACGTGAGTAATTTTCCGTTTTTCGTTGGAATTTATAATCCGTGTAGTATAATTCTCGCCACCCGTTCCTACAGAACATAGTACACTCGTGTCAAATATTTGAGGTGCTGTCAACTGCTGCGTTTGATTTACAATAGTGTTGTGCGGTGACGTGCGGACTGGTGATATCTGTAGCCAGCATGGCCCGGGTGCGACTCGTTAGAGAAATCAGCGTCAAGCCTTTTCGGATCTGACTGCTTTGCCAGGAACTGCAACGATAGGTTTTCGCCTTGGCCGGGTCCGACAGCCCTTTCCGTTAGGCTAGTGATAACTCACGAAGGGTGAAACCAGTTTCCTTTGCGGCTTTGCACCGAACGTTAAGGAGTTATCTCATGAGCCTTTGATGAAACTGCATAATCTGGTAGCCGTAATCTTTGATCACAATCTTCATTTTCTAGCTGTATGCGAGTAGCTTTGGCGTTTTTTAGTGTAATTCACCGGCTGTATAGTGTAATTCTCGCCACCCTTTCCTACGAAACATAGTACAGACCGCCGCGCTTGACTTAGAATAGTGTTGTCCGGTGAAGTGTGGACTGGTGATATTTGTAGCCACCATGGCCCGCGTGCGATGCGTTTGAGAAATCAGCGTCAAGCCTTTTCGGATCTGACTGCTTTGCCAGGAACTGCAACGATAGGTTTTCGCCTTGGCCGGGTCCGACAGCCCTTTCCGTTAGGCTAGTGATAACTCACGGACGGTGAAACCATTTTCCTTTGCGGCTTTGCACCGAACGTTAAGGAGTTATCTCATGAGCCTTTGACGAAACTGCATAATCTGGTAGCCGTAATCTTTGATCACAATCTTCATTTTCTAGCTGTATGCGGCCCCAATTGCAAAACTGGAAATTGCACAAGTCCTGGAATATGCGCTGCCTGTAACGCCGGCTATAATGGAGCGACATGTACACGTGAGTAGTTGTCCGTTTTTTGTTGGAATTACCGGCTGTGTAGTATAATTCTCGCCACCCTTTCCTACAGAGCATAGTACATACGCTTGAATTATTTGAGGTCCTGTCAACCGCCGCGCTTGATTTGCAATAGTGTTCTCGGGCGAAGTACCGTGACGTCTGGAGCCACCGTGGCGCGCATGCGATTCGTTTGAGCTATCGGCGTCACGCCGTTTCCGATGTGATTGCTTTAGAAATAATTGCATCGATACATTTTCGTATACGCTAAGTCCGACAGCCCTTTCCATTACGCTAGTGATAACTCACGGACGGTGAAACCATTTTCTTTTGCGGCTTTGAACCGAACGTTAAGCAGTTATGTCATGAGCCTTGGACGAAACTGTATAATCTGGGGGCCGCAATCTTTGATGACAATCTTCGTTTTCTAGCTGTATGCGACCCCAATTGCAAAACTGGAAATTGTACAAGCGAAGTACGGTGATGTCTGTAGCCACCATGGCGCGTATGCGAATCGTTTGAGCTATCGACATCACGCCTTTTCCGATGTGATTCCTTTAGACATAACTGCAGCGATAGGTTTTCGTTTGCGCCAAGTCTGACAGCGCTTTTGGTTAAGCTAGTGATAAGTCACGGGGGGTGAAACCGTTTTCTTTTGTTTCTTTGCACCGAGCGTTAAGCAGTCCTCTCATGAGCCTTTGAGGAAACTGCATACTCTATGAGTGGCATTCTTTGATGACAATCTTCATTTTCCAGCTGTATGCAGCCCCCGTTGCCAAACTGGAAGTTGTACAAGTCCTGGAAGTTGCACTGCCTGTAACGCCGGCTATAGTGGAGCCACATGTACACGTGAGTAGTTTTTCCTTTTTGTTGTTTTGATTTAGAGGCTGTGTAGTCCAATTCTCGCCACCATTTTCCACAGAACAGTAGTTATAAGTTTGAGTAGTTATAACTAAAACTGGACCATGGAGTTTTTCTCCCCAAGTTGGCATTTTTACGTCCGCCGGTTTGTAGAGCATGTCTAGTTGCACATGTTAAACTGTTTTTATTACTATTTGAGTAGTTATAACTAAGTTTTAAGTCTAAGTAATATGTCGTTACTGAGCTGTAAGTGATTGAGCAGCATTATATGGTAATAGGTCGTGGCTTATTCTTATGGCTCTTAAGCGTTTGCATGTTTTTGTCCATAGGCGACTGCAGTGCTCCTATGCAACTCCAATCGGACTATCGATCGTCAACTAATCTAGCTGTTTCACCAACTGTAACAGCCACTTATACACTTTGTTGTAATCAATGTGCTAGTACTTCTTCTTGTATTGCTCTCACGTGGAACTCAGTCAACAACAATTGCTGGCTCAAATCGAATATTGGTAGTGGTGCAACGAGTAGTCCGCAGGGACAAACGGGTTACTGGCCAACTTAGATGAACAGAACCGAAATGAGGCAGCACAATCTTACCAAAAACAGAAACACTATCTTTTTATGTCATGCTTGAACTCAATAGCATGTGGCTATTTTGTATTATTTCCTTTTTTGTCACTTGCATTTCTTTTAAATCATAAATGAGAGGAATTCAGTTTTCAATATCAGTTTTCTTCCATTTTCACTTTGACAATGGGATTCTGGAAAACCTGCATTTGGGGGTTACAGGTTTTGGGATTATTTGTATAAAAATTCTACGATAATTGAAATTTCTATTCAAGGAACTCATCGAATAGAGCACATTGTACTCTATCTAAAAACTTACTTGAATAAAAAGGAAATTTTCTTTTTGGAGATTTTGGGAGGATTTTCGCCGAAAAAACCGAGATTTCTAATAATGTTACCGTTACGCTAGTGATGACTCACAGACGGTGAAATCATTTTCTTTTGCCTCCTTGTACCGAACGTTAAGCTCTTGTCTCATGGGAGTTTCACGAAACTGCATAATCTGGGAGTCGCAATCTTTCATGACACTTTAGTGCACGCGTGGTCTTTTAGTATTATACTGACTGTGATCCACTTCTTCGTCTCTCTATTTGCATTTTCTTTTTTCTATTTCGTCTATTTTATTTCGTTTATCTATTATTTTTTTCGTCCAATTGTGATCACTATTATTCCAGGTATATATATTGCATCATCTTTAATAATCTGTCTGTTTTTTCAGTAGTGTGTATTCATTCTGACATTGGCCTAGGCTAATCCGAGATTCGCCGCACTTATCTTTCAGTCTGACAATGGACCAGTCCAATCTTAGATTCGTTGGATGATCGCAATCGTTAGATGTCGCACAAGTTTTTCAGACGCTGCTATGAAGAGGTATAAACAAAATGGCCAAAGCAAGCGTTTCTATAATGTGCACCGAATCCAAAACTACACAATAAAAAATACTGCTTTGGCCATTTTGTTTATAACTCTTCATGGAAACGTCTGAAAAACTTGTGCGACATCTAGTTTTGTTCCGAAATTAACGGGCTATCGAATGGTGGATTCACGAAAGTTTTCGGACGTGCTTCCAGCCTTGTGAAATTTCTAGAAAGCCAGGTTTTCTGGAAACCTGTATCTGTTGGCCCTGAGTATTCCCACGACGTTTACCCAAGATTTACTTGTATCATTGCAACTACACGAGTAAGTCTGAGCCGGAATTCCGGGAAGTCCCTCAGAACGGACAAGCTAAGAATTACTCGAAATTACTAGGAATTCCGCAATTCGTACTACTACCAGCACAAAATGTGACTTTACTTCTATGATTGCAACTATACAAGTAAGTCTGAGCCGGAATTCCGCGAAGTCCTTCAGATCGGAATAGCTGGCAATTACTCGGAATTACTAGGAGCTCCGTAATTACTTGAAGTATCTACTGATGTGCTGCAATGAGCAATGGCATATAACATTATTCTGAAGCAGAATTTCCGGGATTCCTTCAATACGGAATTACCAGGAATTACTCGGAATTCCGGAATTACTTGAATTACTGATGTACTGCAATGAGCAATGGCATATAACCTAATTCTAAAGCAGAATTTCCGGAATTCCTTCAATGCGCAATTACCAGGAGAAACCGGTCCTGGAAATCCGGAATTACTTGAATTACTGATGTACTGCAATGAGCAATGGCATATAACCTAATTCTAAAGCAGAATTTCCGGAATTCCTTCAATGCGCAATTACCAGGAGAAACCGGTCCTGGAAATCCGGAATTACTTGAAGTATCAACTAATATACTGCAATGAGGAATGGCATATAACCTTATTCTGAAGCAGGATTCCCGGAATTCCTTCAATACGCAACTAATTCCTGGAATTCCGGTTCAGAGTAGCATTACACGCCATTCCTCGTTGCATTACATTAGTAGATACATCAAATAATTCCGGAATTAATGGTAATTCCTCGTACTTCCGCTTTGAAGTAATTCGAAAAATTCCGAGCCAGATTAAGGTTGTGTGCCATTGCTCATTGCAGTACATCAGTAGATACTTCAAGTAATTGCCGATTTCCTAGTAATTCCTAGTAACTGCTGGTAATTCCGCAGTGAAGTATTTCCGGGAGAATCAGGTATGTATGCCATTGCTCATTGCAGTATATCAGTAGATACTTCAAGTAATTTCGGCATTTCTCATAATTCCTAGTGACCCCGGGTAATTCCGGATTGAAGTAATTCCTGGAATTCCGCTTCAGATTAATGTTACATGCCATTGATCATTGCATTACATTAGTAGATACTTCAAATAATTCCGGAATTCCTAGTAATTCCTAGTTATTCCGTCCGTACTGAAGGAATTCCGGGAATTCTGCTTCAGAATAAGTTTATATGCCATTCCGCATTGCAGTATACAATTACAAGCTGTGCGCGCCAAGCTGACGGATTCTGCCGCTGATTGGTTTGACGATTCCGAAAGTCAGTTCACTTCATGGCAGGAGTTTGAACACCTATTCAAACGTCGATGTTTATCGGTTGTTTCAACTCAAACGAAATTCGATAAATTGGTAAAACGTGTGCAACAACCGAATGAACCTATTGTCAGTTACTATGATGACGTGCTCCGATTGTGTCGTGAAGTCGATGCGAACATGACATCTATGACAATTGTACAACATCTAATCAGTGGGGTGCGACAGGATGTAAGGGAACAACTTTTACGACCGGACTCGCCAACGGATACGCCTGAAAAGTTTTTTAAAATTGCAAAAAAGGAAGAAGATCTCAAGCAGATATCACAGCCTGTCGATCAACCGGTTTCTCATTCATATTTTTCATTCAATGATCAGCCAATAATATCAGCAGTAAATCTGTCGCTGTCAGACAAACGTTTGAGTATTCCATCCATACAATCAAATCAGGCACGACATTCCGGAGCCACCACCAACCGACAACCTCAACAATACCCAAGTAATCAATATTGCGCTTCGCCAAATACAACTCCATTTCGCCCATGTAAAATATGCCAAAGAACAAATCATCGTACGATTGATTTCTTCAATAAAAAGCCACAAGGATGCTTTAAATGTGGTCAATCAAATCATCAAGTCCGTGATTGTCCGCAGTCTATTTTCGGGTAACTGGGTCGTATGATGGCGATGTATCCAGTAACAAAATGCCATCAACGAGATCTATATCGCGGAATCCTCTTTACATCAAAGTTCAAGTAAATAATAAATCACAACCAGCCATCGTCGATACAGGCTCCTCCATCACAATCATACATCAAGATCTCCTGAAAAAATTACACCATAAAAGCTTTCGCTATAAAGCCTAGTCATACGTAACGGCAAACCGTACCACTCTCGACATTGTTGGTGTAACCCAATTAGAAATAAAAATCAATAGCATTAAAACGTATGTCGACGCAGCCGTTTCAACAAATCTGGTCACAGACCTGTTACTTGGAATGGATTGGATAACGCCAAATAACGTCATTATCGACTCAACCCAACAGTGTATCCATGTCTGTAAGAATAAACAATCCATCACATCCACACCATTCATTTCATCCCCTGACTCCCATTATCCCGTGTTACTAGTCAACGAGGTTACAATCCCACCACGTTCCGAACAACTTGTTGCAGTTAAAGTCCAACTAAATAATGCTACTGGTGTGATATTTGAACCGTTATGAAATGCTAAACATAAGGCTCTTTTGCTAGCCAGTGCGCTCGTCAATGTTTCAGATGGGATTACGTACGTACCCATTATAAACACGAACGATCGGCAACACACTCGCAAAGAATACAAAATTAGGTGTGATATCACTGGCAAATATTTGTCTTACCTTATCTCTATCTGAGAATATCGTCCGGGACTCCGCGGATGACGTCCATACATTAGCTCATGTATGGACGTCAGCCGGTACTCCCATTTGATCAACAATCGCCTGTTGTCTCACTCGAACAAGATCCGCAACATTTAAACAAATTGACTCAATATTTATCCCAAATAACCGATGAAGCCCGCCAAAACATCATCCACAGTCAACAACAATATAAAACTCGTTATGATTCGAATCGAACCAATCCAGAGTACGATATGGGAGACCTCGTCCTGGTCAAGACACTCAACACCCGTCACAAATTCGATCCGAGACATGAAGGACCATTCAAAGTCATTCACCGACTCGGAACAAAAACATACACTGTACAGCATGTCAGAAAACCGACATTACAACGCCAAGTTACTGTCGACTCCATTGTTCCGCTTTATGGACGTATCCTTCCACCTCAATAGACAGCATGCCGTCCGAAATTCGGATAGGCTACGATGATCAAATTTCTCTACAACTCGTCGTGATGTGATTGGCAATGCATGCTGGCGAGAGCGTCTTCCACCTTTCACTGACATGAGAGGCTATCACTTCATGTTTCATACATTGGGTTATTCTATATCGATTTTCAATTTCCTTGCGCTCTTGTTCATTCTTATCCATAATTTAATTTTGGTTGTCATTTTCCTGTAACTAATTTCACGATTACTCATATTCGTGGTATTGATCGTGTGTGCACCACTTTCAATTATCATTAATACGAATCTCTTAGCATCAGTATTGATGTCTAATGGATATTTTGGACACACACCGATGCTTCACTGAATGAACATGCAGTTGTGAGTTCCATCGATGATCATCAGTCAAGAACAATAACATTGATCTTTCTATTTCTCATTCATCTACTTAAACGTCCAGTGCTTAAGTTTTGAACACCAGCATATGGAGTCGAACGTCCGACATATCGGATAGTTTACGTCAGATTCACCTTGTTTTTATCAATTCAGCTTTTAATTTCGAAATTGTCGTCAGCAGTTGAAGAATCACCAATATGCAGTAGCTTATCCGCCATTTCGACCACCTCCATACGACGCTATTTTCATCAATAAATTAACGTCCAAAACACAACTCAATGAACTAATTCAACGAGCAGCTACAATTAATCACTACACCGTTGATACAGAAGGCGATTTCGACACGCATGAACCAGCCTTACTTCAGATTCAATTCATTTCGGCCTATTCAATTGTATTATTAGTCGAAGTACAACACCTACCTCCCCCGAATTCCGAACGCTATCATCTTATTGCCAAGCTGCTCACTTCAGTTTTCAATGCTGAAATGAATTCAATTTATGCATGGGGTGATGCGCGTAAAGAACTGTCTCCATTTTTGTATTTGCAATTGTTTCAGTTACGTACTATCGAACAAACAGGAGATGTTCACTTTGCATTCCAGGAGCGTGATCAATTGAAAAATCCACATCTACCATATCACGAATTGGAATTAGAACTTCATCCATCCGAGCTAGCATCCTGTAAATGCGAAACCTGCATTGGACGGACACCCGATGAACCATGGTCTCTGCAAGATATGGTCGTCATTGAATTCGGACAGTTTTGGGATAAACAGTTCACGAAATCCCCGTGGACCATCGGCCTCGATCCGCTGTTACATACACCCGATCAAAGAATCCCTCGACGTTACCATCGCACCACATATCGGGAACAATTGAAACAATATGGCATTTATGACTGCCTCACAGTTACCAAACTGGTTCAAATAATACAAGCCCCCGATCCTCGTTCCCCTGTACCCTCCCCGACAATCAATGCTCAAACACCCGATGTTCAAAATCCCAGATCACAACACCCTGTTCAAGTAGTTCAATCAGTCGCAGTTATTCGTCAATCTCCAGTTCAATCCCCAACAACCATTTCCTCAACACTCGACCCACTACTCGTCGACACACCATCAGCAGACATTAGCAAAAATGATGATTCGCTACTAGTTCATCGACCCGGACAACCTTCAGCGGCAGCGAAAAAACGACTTAATCGAAAATATACCTTGAATCGACGTAAACCAACGATCCAATACCGTCATGAAATTGTTGTTCCTGATATTTATCATAAATTTACTCCTTTAAAAGTAAAATTCATGCTCCGACAACGAAACATCCCATTTACTGCTATTTTAATTGATCAAAATTGTCTGTACATTGGTATGCGTACTCGTGAACAACAGCAACATTAAGAACCAATCGTCATATCTCAATGGTTCAATGCACACAGTTCTCATGATCCAGCAACATCACGCATACCATAGCGAATTGTAATCCCGGTGCTTCCCGTTTGTCTCGCTCTGTCTTGTGTTTTTGTTTTTGTTTTTTTAATTTTTACCCGTTACACAATGAACGAGCTAAAACTTATCCGGGTGACCACAAGTCTTCCAATGTTGAAATTCATTTGTTTGGCACAAGTTACGAATGAACATTTTTTTTCTCTCCGCATCTTTCCGTGTTCATCTACCGTTTAAAGTGGGGAGGACTGTTAGCGTTGTCACTCCGTCACTGCTAATCATAACCATGTGCATAGTCATGTTTCATTCTTTTTCTGTTCATCTCATTTATTTATCCGTCACTTATTCACTATAGTACATATACTAACTATGTGTATATGTACATCAGTCCGCCGTTCTTTTCTCTTTGTTTTCATTTATATATATACACGCGTTTATTCATTTAGTATACACAGTTATCTTACTCTATTTCATAATAAAGAGAGAGAGAATAAAGAGTATTTTTTGTGGATGCCTCCTATTTGTATGGTTGTTGGTTGTTCAAACAAGTTCGGTGATCTTGGCAAAGGTCGACGCAAAGTTTGATTCTTTCGCCTGCCAACTGATCCTATAATATTGCTAAAATGGTGTGATATTTTGTCTATCAATATTGATATTGTGATATTCTGTCTATCAATATTAATGATCTTAGCGTGACAAAATCAGAGCGTGTTTGTGGTGAACACTCCTCCACGAGTGATATCACTTACTTAGATGGGCCAGCATCATTGGCTGCAGGTGCTCTACCCATTAATTCGAACAAATCAGATGCGTATAGTTTTGTCAAAGATTTCTGTACAATAATCTCATGATTTTATGCACATAGATGAATAATATTTCAGAAAAAAATCAACGTTTGCATCACAAACTTCACACGAATATATAATATGAAACAATTTGACAATGTCAGACGGCAGCTATATGAACTATCTTATCTCTTATCTCTTTCATGTTTGACGGACACTTGTCCTTATACGTCTAAACATTCATCACATATCGTCTGTAAAAATAAAAAGAAGAGAAAGGACGGGGGCGATTATTTGATGAAATCGGCCCCTGCTCGAATTCCATCGAAACACACATGGTTAGATGCAGGATAGAGTGTCGCTCTGTACGGTTCAGAGACATGGACTATGAGGAAGAAGGAGAGAGATAAAGTGGAGGCATTCGAAATGTGGACATGGAGAAACATGGAGAGGATCAGCTGGCAAGTGCACAAGACGAACGAATATGTGCTGGCGAGAGCGGGTGAAAGTCGGAGGATTTTGGACGTCATCTTACAAAGGAAAAAAAATTGGATCGGACGCATTCTAAGAGGTGAAAGCCTGGTGAGAGAGGTCCTGGAGGGTAGATTCTACGGGAATCGTGGAAGAGGCAGGCCGCGTGCTATGTTATTGGATGATATTATAAACGAGGACTCGTATGCGGACATCAAACGAAGAGCTATGGAAAGACAGAAATGGAGAACATGGGTGCCTAGAACCTGCCCTCGGGCAGAACACCAATGATGATGATGAAGATGAATGGATATTTCTATGAACATGTAGCATTTGTTCTTTTCTTATTTTATCCCGGAGTATATTTTTGCGGATACATAAAAAGTATATCACAATTGAGAAGGTCAAAAGGAAAGATAATTAAAACCGGTGTTTCTGATGTCTAAAGTTGAAATATAGTATTGAAAACCCGTTGCCAAAAACTTCGGGGACGTCGACGAAAAATTTATGGTGTACAACATATTGTCTGTTTAAAACAAGAATGTTCTCCATCATTCTTCGAATAATTTTTTGCTAAAATTGCGTATACATTTCGAACATCCAAAATATGCATACACAGATACGTATGTAGTAGCAAAATGATCAGAGGAAGGCTGAAATTACACAAAGTAAAATAACAAAGAATTCAAAGGCGATAGAATGTCAGTGCGGCTCATCGACGGACAGGAATTCTAAAATACTACTTTAATGGAGACCATAGTTTGTACGTACTACAGGATAAACCTTCTAGATATAAGATGAGGTAGTCATATTCTTCTCTACTCTTCCGTCTGTTATATATACAGGCAGAAAAGAAAGCGAGAGAAAGAAGAGTCTTATTTACAATAGAACAAAGAGTAACTGTATTTTATATCGAAAACAATTTAAGATCATGTGGTCCTTTGTATGCAATATATGTATTAGTACGATACTCCTGAACTGAACAAAAACCACCAATAATAATTGCAGTTTATAATTGTGCACTAACAGGCATTCGTAATAAAACTCGATTGATCACAAAAGAATAATAATATGCAGATTATTAAAACAGCTACTCGTAGTTCTTTAAAAAGCTGAAGGAAAACTGTTCGAACTGTTTCTTCGGTTCAGGCCGAAATATTGCTCGGCCCTATTATTGCTATCTTTTTCTTGTATTCCACTGGCACACATGGAGCAATGCATTTATTACTAAATTTGTGTCTCTTCCTTCTATTATACACACATATCACTACCTCACTCAATCTTTGTTTTGTATAAATATTTTTTTAATGCAGACTTGTTTTTTTCTTAATGGATTTTTTTTGATTAATCTGCTCTTTTTTCTTTTCTTCTTATGAGCGTACAAAGGGACTTGCCTCGACTTACCCACTTCTTATTGCTATGTTTATTTATCAAATATTTTCTATGATAAATCTTCAAGGTTATAAAAAAAAATGAAGAGGTGGTACAACTAAAACGCATTACAATACAAAGAGGATAAACAAAGAAAGAGTAAAGAAAGAATGTCAATTGTATAACTGTAGGCAGGTAAATAATGAAGAGGTATGACGAATGATAGTCATCGGTGAGATGTAGCATGTGTAAAAAGAAAAATTATGAATCTGTTGCTAGAAATGGGCAGTATGTATTTTATTATTAAGCAGTAAACACAAAATTAGAAAATTCATAATTTAGTCAAAATCGACCTAAACTATTTTAAAAAATATCGAGATATTCCCTATTTTATCCGCACTATGCCCTAAAAGTCAATAAGAACTTTAAAAACCAATACAAAAGATTTCGGTTTTTGAAACGTCTTCTAGAATACTTTGGAAATAAGACAATACTTTTAAGTACAGAATTATATTGAGGGACCAGGCTGAATCTCTCAGTAGCAATGTTAGTTTTGGAAAATGCTCAAAAGCTAGTCGAAACCTATGAAATAATCCATTTTCGACTATCATATCACGTAATAAAACATGTATAACTCAGCCAAAATCGATCCAGACTACTTCAGAATAACAGTATATACTTTATTTAATGATAGTCTGTGCTGCAAGATCTCACTCAATAGAGCTAGATTGATCTAAGCAACACTATTATGAATCTTGAGCCACGGTAGCTAATGACCTGGAACTTATGAAGAGGACATTTTGAGCCTATCTGATCATAAAACTTGAATTTAAAATTCATCTGAATTTAGAAGCCTATCATATATCAAAAGATGCAGTAAACATTTCTCTACGGAACGTTGAAAACCGAGTCTCTCTATTAGTTCTTTTCTTCAGTTAATTAAAAGAAATCTGACACATGTGTGGTTGTAATAACCGTCCCATTCAAAAAAATGAATTGAGATGACAGAATTAATCGTTAGACAGCTCTGAAATATTTACAGTAGATTTAAAATGTTAGGAATTGCCTGTTGCCAAAACTTCAAAGATAAGAAAACCTTTCCGATCAGTTAGAATACGTGTTTTAGTTAAAAGATCAATTTCTTCATTTACCCCGAATATTAAGTCTTGAAAATATGGGCAATGATCATTTATTCTTACTTGCTTCCCTCAATAAAACCAAAATGAATAACTTATTCAATGCAAACAAGTAGCATGGCTCAAAAACATTTGACGTTGTTCGCATCATAAAAGTTATTAAATAATGGTATTAAATTTGTTTTTGTTTACGATAGAAACAATACACAAATTGATTTCATACATTGACAATGTTTTAAAATGGAGCAATAAATTTTCTCTTTTATGTATTCGTTATATGAAGGATAAGTGGTGGTAAGGCTACTCTTTTACTCCAGACTTTTCGACAAAAATCATACGATCAGAATCAGCATCGAATTCTGAACAAAAGTGTAGCCTTAGACATCTGAAAAAGTAACTTTTTTGTACTTCGACCGAAATTCATGTCACATCAACAATACCACTACGACAAATCATTATATGAAATCAATCAGTATATTGTTTCTTTGTCAGAAGTTATTTGTACTTAGACAAAAACAAATTTAAAAAGAATAACATTTTTTACTTATAGAAGAAAGAAAAATAAAAAATACTAATTGAAACGTGGCTAAAGAAAAATACTCTTGTTTAAATAACTATAACAATTAATTTAGTATGATTGTTTGTAATTAAAATGAGTTTGTGAAGTCATTCAAATCAACGAACCTATGCATATATAAAATCAAGAATCAAAGGTATTTGGAACGTTATGGTAGACGTGGTTTAACATCTTTTTCTCATCAAGCTGTTACTTCTATTTAAAGCATAGTTTCAAATGCTACTCTTTTCAGAAATTCACAGATCGTGAAACAATACTTTCCAGAACGAAACGCTATCTATAGGTAGTTGCTTGTATACTCATACCCAAAATTCAGGGAATCAGAAGCTGACAGCTCTTAGTAAATCATAGTAAACGATAAAAGGGATTTTTGTGAGACAAGACATCGTACTCATCTGTTCTAAATTGTTTTACTCTTCTTACAACATACATCAGAAACGTCTGAGACAGACTTGTTTGTGTAGACAACATCGTTTTTACCGTAGAACATATATCTATCTATACCTAGGGCGCGCG